GAGATTTAGATTCTTGCCTCGATTCTCGGAGTCTAGGCTAGGAACCAGGCTTAAAAAAAAGGAGACGGGAGGCGTCGACCCTGGGCGGACTCGAAGCTTAGAGTCTGGGAAAATGGAACAAGATCGATTCTTTGAGTCCTCATTTGGAGTCGAAAGAATCCATCCCAGAGTCGATCTTGCCCTGGCCTAGAGGATACCATACAGGAACACAATTCATGCAACTGAACTTGTACCAGATGCAAACATGTTAAATAACTAGTACTGAAGTAGATCATCATCACCATCGTTGCCCTTTCCACCCTGGATCAGAATATGGGCCACAAACACTTTCCACCTTTCCCTATCCTTGGCTAGTCGCTTGATGTCACTCCATGTCTTCCCACTTTTCTGTACATCCATTTCCGTGACACTTCTTTAGGTTCCACCTGGTCTTCCCCTTTATCTTTTACCCTGTGGGTTCCAATCTAACTCTTTCCTTGTTATACAGCTGCTTGACTTTATGTCCAATCCATCGCCAGCGCCTTCTTCCCATCTCATCTCTGACTGGGCTCTGTCTCGTTCTTCATAATACTTCATCGTTGGTGATCTTGTCTGTCCATCTGATCCTCAGTAGCTTCCTCAGACACTTGTTCCAGAAAACCTGGATCCTATTTATGCACGGCTGAGATGCGTTCCATGTCGCACATCCATACAACAGGACTGACTTCACATTTGAGTTGAAAATCTTCAGCTTTGTTTGAAGTAAGATATCCCTGGTCCTCCAAATCTGTTCAAAGAAATAAATGCAGTCTACGTCTTTCCAATACCGGACTTTATTTCAGAGTCTGTTCCTCCCTCTCTGTCAGTTATACTCCCAAGATAGCAGGACTCAACGTCTCCTAGTGCATTTCCCTCTACTATGACCTGTTCCTTTCGTAGTGCATCTATCCTTAGGACTTTTGACTATCCATGATGGGTCCTCAATCCAACAGACTCTGATAGGCTGTTTAAAATTGTGGTCTTTGCTTGCATCTGTTCCTGAGTGTGTGACAGAAGCGCCAAGTCATCTGCAAAATCCAGATCTTCCAACTGTGTCAATGGGGTCCACTGTATGCCCTTTCTGTGTCCTCTGGTGGAAGTAGATGCAGTAATAATAATACACTAAAAGCTAAAAAATAAACAAGAAAACCCCTTTCAAATACCTTTTAAGAATGGCTTAATTATCTGACTCAAACAAAAGTCGATACAAGAATACAGCAAGCCTATTTTTTGTTTATTTTACAAACTATGAAAATAAATCATTTTTCTTACTCTCCTTGAGAACAAAATAATTTGAAAACAAATTTTGTTATTTACCGCCCTTATCAGCTAAAGATATTTATAAAATACTGAACAAAGCAGCAAAGAAGAAAGACTGAACTTACTGAGGAAGTACCATGCCAGAAACTTGAGAGAGATATACCGCTGCCTTGGGAGGTGATACAACTCAACAGTGTCCATCACTTGTGCTTTGGGAACCTAAAGATTGAGCACAATAAGACAATAAGGATCTCTCCTTCAAAACACAACATCAGTCTAGACATGGGTTGATGACTGTCAGAAAAATGGTCCAACAAACCCGACAAGAACATAAAACAGGGCGACCTTTAAGGTCAACAATTCCCAGTCCGTATATTAATATAGTAAAACAAGCAAGCCGTACCTGGCCATTCCTTTCTCTATGAACCAGCTTAAAACTTGTCCACTATCTAATACAAGTATGAGGAACTAGCTTATTTGAAATGCTAATCAAACAAAAATCCAGTATTTAGAACCTTTAGAACCATTGTTGCATATCATACTTTCAGATAAAAATAGACATGTTTATAAAAGGAAAATATCTTATGACAGTTCTTTAGTACCATTCCATCGAAGTCACACTTGTACACAAACAATTTGTTCCAATTTCCATCACCCCCTCCTCCCCATACAAAAAGAAATAAAATGTTTGTTTAGTCATATAGAAAATTAAAACGACTGCATGGTATAAATGTTTTAACTCTATAGAAGACAGGAGTCATGATTGGGGGCGGGGGGTAGGAAGCAACTCTCGTGGGGAAAGGGAAGTATACGTCAGTGATGACATCCACTTCTTATTAATAAAATAAGAAGGCGGATACTCATTCCGCAGGCCTACCAAGAGATTGATGACCCTGAAATCTTTCTTCAGTCCGTGGCCGATGAAGACGACACCGTTGTCTACAAGGTAGCGTAGCTTCAGGTAAGTGGACTTCAGAGTGGTCAGGTGTTTTGTAGAGGTGGCAGGATCCAGGTCGCCTGACTTGATGCCAGAGTACTGGGTCAAATAGTCCACCACCTAAAACACATCACACAATGAGTAAGCAGCGACTTCTAGAATTCACCTCACCCTCCCATCTCAAGGTTAAAAAAAAATAACTAAAGCAAAATAAAATTCTTGAAACCATGTCTAGTGCCAGGTAGCTGGGACTTCAATGGTGCACAATAATTTGAATTAAATCGATCAGGTACTCTCAAACAAAACAAAAAGCCTCTTTTCATCCCAAAGCAAAACTGAGCACATCTCTTTGAAATCTTTTTCCACTACTTTGTGTTTAGATCATTTTTTTAAAATGATACACCATGAGCTTGAACAAAAAAAATCCACATATAAATAAAACTCTCAAAAGTAAAGGTATATTCATGAGACCTTCGAAATTAGCAAATCCAATCTAAAAGAATCTTAACTCAAATAATAAAAACCAAGATAAGCCAAAAGTATGGTAATTGGTGCTTTCCTGTTATAGCGTGTAACAGGATTTGACTGTGTTATAAAATTCCAGGATTCCTTTGAATTTACCTGCTCTTGGGTGCTGATGTAGTCATCTATGAAGGGCTCTCCCTGATTTGGGCCACTTCTGGAAGAGAAAACATTTTTTTTAAAATCTATTACAATCTTTTTAAGAGATGAGCTCAATAAGAAAAGTGAAAAAATCCTTGAAGTTGAAAAAGAGAATTAAAGATCAAAATACATATGAATTAACAATGAAAACATATGTATAGAGGGAAATAAAAATACAACGTATAGAAACATCCTTACGGATAATAAAAGTCCTTTTTTAAAAAAAACCTTAAATAAAACAGATAGGAACTATAAATATAACAGACCAAGAAATAAAACCATGATATGCAGATGATAACCCACATAAAGTCCAACCAGCACACAAAATAATGGCAGCCAGTATAAAGGCAACCATCCCACAAACAGAGAGAAAAGTCACTAAATTTTACCAATTATCCAACTTTCGAATGCTTGAGACTAAATCTATCCAGAGCTCCCGGATCGAAGACTACAACAATCAATCCCATCCACTACATAAACACCATGGGCTGAAAACACATCAACCATACTAAAGTACAGTAGACACATAACCAGCTCTGTACCAAATTTACTATGACCTACATACTTTCAAGAGTACCCGCCAGTACAGCAAAGCATGATTTAATTACCAAGGATCAACTGCGTTAGGTTCTTCAGAGTCAAAAAACAAAGAAGAGGGAGGCAATGCAGACACAATCACATTGGCCACAAATGTCACCCCTACAGTATAATAAAGACAACAATGTCAATAACAATAATAATGACAATAATTTTAAGTTTTTTCGAAGAAAGAGAATCAGATGACTTTTAATCTTCAATTAAGTAAGGCCAGTATTATTTGTGGCATACCTGTTTGGGCCAATTTGCTCAGGGCACCAGTTAGTTGGAGACCGAAGTTTACCCACCCTAATTTTTTACAGACCAGTACACAGTGGCCATTCAACAGTCTAGATCATGCTGCCCCAGTCAGTTACATAAGTGTCTACTCAAAATATAGAGGAAAAAACCCTCACCCTCTGATGCATGTAATCCTGGCAACAGACATCTGAGACGGGATGATCGTGGAGCGAGTGCCATCACTGCGCAGTTCGGCTTCCTCCTGATATATCATACAAAGAAAACATTACATGAGGAAACAAAACCAATACTGAACTATCAACAAAAAGCGTTCTAGCACCAAACTCATTCTTTAAACTAAATCTCATTCTCGTACAAATCACAAACACACATTAGGCTCTAGAAGTGGTGAACCTGACAAGAGTTGCCGACTCCCATATCATCATCAAAGTAAAGTATTTTAAAAAAAAAAAAGAACAAAGTGGGTGACATAACCTATAAATAGACTGCTCCGCTCCAGCTTGCGATTTTATGAGAGCGACATGGACATGACAGTTTTAGTTTTAGTAAGAGTTTTACGGCACTTGCAACACAATAAGGTCATATGAGTGCCGAAGATTAGAAGTGTTACAAGAGAGTAACAAACACCAAAAAGGAGGAGAGGTCTGGACGAGAGAAAAAGCAAACCACACCAGAGCACCCGCCAACCACCCACATGTACATGACATTCTGACTAAAATTTTCCGACCTATTTTCTTTCTTAAGTTTTTATTCCTCTCAAATCAGACGCCAGGCAAGATGATTACAAACCTCCTTGAGAGAGACAAACTCCGCATCCAGTGCCACAATATCTCCTTGTTTCGGCAACTCCTCAGGCTGCAGGGGAGGGAATGTAATCTTGCGGCGCTCAGGATTCAATAAGGCAGCATCGTTGAACAAAATATCAGGGCTGGACCAGCTTTTAACTGCAGAAAATAGAACAATTTATATCAATACCATTACATGAAAGTACAATCAAAATACCCTTTCCTTTACACTGTTTTTCCATAAAAGTCAGAAGTGATCCTGTTTTCTATGTAACACAAGTACTAGGAGATTTTATTGATAAAGACTACATTTACATTTATAAAGATACCAAGGAGAGAGCTCAAAAACCACCCTTAGAAAGTCATCTTGAAGAAGTGAATATCTTAACAAAAATTGTCATATCTTCACTGCCTGACCTGTTGTCATTTAAAAAATTACAGCATATGCAGTTTTGACAATTTTACAGGAGAGCCGAAAAATGAATGCTGTTTCCAAGAAAACAACATTTGCTTTAAAGATAAAAAGGAAGGTCTAAAAATCGTATTCTTAAAATTATTGACTTGGGATATTAGCAAAGAGTTTATTTTCTAGGTAACAACATTCAGTTTTTTTACACTCCGGTGAAGTTGTAAAAACTGCAAATACTGTACTTTTAAACATGACGGCAGTAATATTATCACTGAGCCTAAGCTTGCCAGCCACTCAGCAACAGGAGTCCATATTTCAGTATAGAGCACTAATCAAAAAAGAAAAGACCTACACAACAGAAAAGAGCTAAGGAGATTTACAAAATAACAACAAGACAGTCTGCACTGGAAACTATTACCATAGACTTAAGACCTTACACAACAGCTGCAAAACAGTCAGTCCCATTTATTACACGTATCAGAGAAAAAGTAGTCTGTCGCTAACAAAACAAGTTACTGAGATCACAAAAATAAATTATGTACCTGTCACATCATGATTAGACACAAAGTTCCTGCGCGTATAGTGAATGATGCAGGGAACATTCCAGTCCAACTTGAAATCAACAGCTTCATCCTGGAAAAAAAAAGGTTGAAACCATAAGAGCATGTACATGAGATTTCTACCAATAATTATTGACTAAAGCAAAATCAAGATATTACTTAGAATTTAAGCCTGCATCTGTACTAAAGAGGAAAGCGATTTAAAAATGAAAATAAAATTTTTTATTACAAATCTACAAAACTGAACGTAAAAAGATCCACCATAAAACAAAAAAGACAGGATTTTCCCATAAAATTCTATTACCTCACAGCAGTGCAGAGGTAACAGCAAAAATACTGGAACAATAATAATTGCATAAGGACTGGCAGCAATAGAAATGCCAAAGACATTGGAGCGATATCTACAATATGAACTGGTCAAAACCTAGCAAGCAGCATAAATTGTCGTAGTTTCAATTCCGTAAAGCAGTCCGGTTCTGTACTTGTAGAAAAAAATGCAAATCCCAACACCGAGAGGTCATTTCCCATACCTTCTCCACCGGAGTGATGCAGAAATCGTTGATGAGGTACCACTGTGTGCAGGTGACACGCTCCTTGCGCTGATGGTAGCGTTCTCCGACCTTCAGACAACACACCAGATTACTGCCTGATGAGTGCAGGATGTTGCTGACAACACTGTACAGCTCGTAGTAACGAACGTCCTCTTGTTCTTCGCTCGGCAAAGGTTCCTGCATTAAAATATTTTTATGAATACCCAAGGACAAGAATCTATATCACTTCTAGATGAACGTTCCTACAGGCACTGATTAAATGCAAAACACTCTAAAAGTTTATAATATTTAAAGAACTGCTCTATACTATAAGAGCTGGAGATTCCGTTTAAAACTTAATGATCTGACAGTGCATCAAATATTGTTGAAGAAAGTCCAAAATGGAGCAAATATCAAAACTATCCCTTGAGTCCAAAGCAATAAAAAAGGTCTGCAGCTAATACGCATATGCTGAGACCTTAAAAGATAAACAAAATCAGTTTTATATACAAGTTATAAGAACCGAAGGCACACGAGAACCTACGTCACGATGTTAAAGATAAAATTCATTGATCTCATAAGAGGAAAAATCTTTCTGGTCATGCGCCAGAGTAACAAAGCAGTCTAATTCGAAATCATCATTGTCTATCCTTTCTTCTATCCCTCCTCCTGAAGACCTGCTCAATATTTGCCTGAAAGTACATTCATAAACTCAACATTAGAACACACAGATGTGACTTCATAAAATCGAATGCCTTACAAACATTACAGATGTTCGAGCTTTATGTTACGCTTCTCAGAGAACCAACATTTACATTCTAATCACGTCTTCCCAAAACAAAGCAGAATATAACAAAAAGAAGTTATGAAATGCTGATCACAGAAAATTTTGAACAATATTCAAGGCCACAACATTCATTTTAAGCTATCTTTTAGATGAATTGAACATTCAGTGCACTCATTGTACATATCAAGCTCACCTCATCAGAAATTTCAGATACAACCACAGTGCCATCGGGGTTCCTAATAACCTTGAGCCCCATAGGAATCCAACTGGGTCCAAACTCATCATCTTCAACAGGTTTCTTCTTTGCTTCCGAGTCGCACCTGGGCAAGAAAGAGATAGTAGAAGTGGCTTCAAGCTAACTGTTTGGGTTTTATTTCGATTAGATAAGTTTTTTAAAGTTTTAGTAAGAGTTTTACAGCCCTTGCAACACAACAAGGTCATACAAGAGCCGAAGATTAGAGGTGTTACAAGAGAGTAATCAACATAAAAAAGGAGGAGAGATCAGGACGATAGATGTTTGATAGGAAAGAAGAAGCAAACCACACCAAAGCACCCACCAACCATCCGCTTAGATTAGTTTTAGTATGAGTTTTACTGCACATTCAACACAAGGTCATATAAGTGCTGAACATTTGAGGTGTTACAAGAGAGTAATTAACATAAAAAAGGAGGAGAGATCAGGACGATAGATGTTTGATAGAAAAGAAGGAGCAAACCACACCAGAGCACCCACCAACCATCCGCTTAGATTAGTTTTAGTATGAGTTTTACTGCACATTCAACACAAGGTCATATAAGTGCTGAACATTTGAGGTGTTACAAGAAAGTAACAAACACAAAAAAGGAGGGGAGATAAAGACAATAGATGTTTGACGAGAAAGAAGGAGCAAACCAGACCAGAGCACCCGCCAACCACCAACTCTGATTCAGTTAAGAGATGCACTTCAACACAACTGTCATCTAGTGCTGGGAAAGAGCAAGAAAGACAGGCAGAAAGAACAGAAGGAAAGAAAAGAAGGACCTACTAGTGGCTCTCTCCAACCAGTTATAAAGCAAAAAATGGATCATGCCATCTTACTGCAGAGCAAGTTACTGCATGTAAGCACCATGACATCTACATTTTGTTGGGAACAGGTGAAGATGAAAGAAACGTTAAAAAGATACAAAATGACAAAATGAACAGTAGACACCAGTGCCCTTCCACAACCACCAGTCTTGCATTCATCCTTCTGTGAGGAACATTGCCAGTAAGAAGAGAGAGACCTAGAACACTTTGTTTTGTTTTAGTAGAGGTTTTACGGCACTCGCAACAGCATAAGGTCATATGAGCGCCAGAAGATTAGAGGTGTTACAAGAGAGTAACCAGCATAAAAAAGAAGGAGGGGAGATAAGGACGATAGATGTTTGATAGGAAAGAAGAAGCAAACCACACCACAGCACCCGCCAACCACCCACTAGAACACCTTCAGGAGAGGTAAACACAGAAAGAGGTGAGAGCACACATCAAAATGAGAACTATCCTTCAGTCATTCCTACAGAGCAACATATCACTGGAGGAATCTGTGAAAACATGTTAGAAAGCCTTCAGTTTATAGGTTATCTTTAAATGTTGGTGTTTTACAACCCAATTGACAAATTTTAGATCATTTAGAAGGTGGGGCTTCAACCCGGCATGTCAGGTCCAATCCAGCCAGAAAAGAATATAACATCCCAAGAAAGGCAGAGACACTTGACAAAAATTCTCCCGACACAGGGAACAAACTCTGGTCTTCCATTTGCAACGGCAAAGTGCCTACTCACAACACCACAGACACCGGTAAAAACATCACTAATAAACCAGACCTAAACGGGGTACAGGAAGGACTACATATAACAACTAACAAGACCTCTACCTTCCTTCTAAAATTACAGAATTTAAAAAATCAATTAGAGCTGGGGATCACGATATTTTTTTTCGGGGGGGGTGTAAGTTTTACGGCACTTGCAACACAATAAGGTCATATAAGTGCTGAAGATTAGAGATGTTACAAGAGTGAAACAAACACAAAAAGAAGAGGGGAGACGAGGACGATAGATGCTTTATAATAAAAAAGGAGCAAACCATACCTGGGCACCCACCAACCACCCACTGGGACTAGGTTTGGGATGGAAGGAACTACAGGAGTGTTGGTTTGGTTTAAACACTTTGTGTAAATTCAACCAAATGATAAAAGAGATTGGCATTCCAAATGACAAAATAGAAATTGCAAAAGTTATACAAAAAATGTGAAGAAAATGCATCACTAACTCTCTTGGCCCGTCATGGAAAAAGATGCAGTCTGGCCTGTGACAGGCAACGCCAAAACGACACTTTTTGGTGGCGTGGCTGTTTGCTGGCCGGATCACAGTCGTGGGAATATCACTTTCAGAAAATCTCTCACGAACAATCTGCAGAAAGAAGAATCAAGCATTACTTTTGAATTTAAGGACAACTTTTACATATTTGTCTTTTCTGCAAAGTAATAAGACAGATTCACTTAATCACAATACAGTGCCTTCTAAAGCACATGTAACTGAATAAAAATAATACTACATACACAACTTCTGCAATAACCTCTTCAGCAACAAAAAGTTTATGAACACTTTACAAATACAAATACAAAACAGAAACTTAAGCATAAGAGACTTGCTAATTTGAGTGGGGAAATTTTTAGCAAAGAGAGGTACCGACAATAGGACACTCCTCACTACTGAATGTAAAGCAAACAGAAAAGCGGGGAAAAAATTGCTTTCATGAGAAACGAAACGGTTCGAATTCATTAAATTATAGGAACAGCAGCATTCATGGAAGAAAAGTGAAGGAAAAAAAATATGACTTCACCTACCTGAAACTGCGCTTTCCAGAAGTCCAGGTTCTTTTCATTCTCTGTGTGGCAATTAAGAGCTAAGACATCAGGGAGATTCTGTATGCATTTACGTTGGCACTGGAAATGATATACAGAACAGAAAAATTTAGTCACCAAGCCTGTTGAAGGTTAAAATCAACACATAAACTGAAATAAAAAGTAACTTTCTAATTTTCACATCTTTGAAAATTAAGCAAACAACTTTTTGGAGTAAGGCCCTGAAAATTGAGGGTGGTAGGGAAGCCCCTTATACAATAGTCAATTCCTCTCTGTAAGAATTCTTGCATGTTTTCCTTATATTGCAAGTAAAATATTACCTTCATTCTATAATTCACTACAGCTGCACATATCTTCCAAACAAGAATTTTCCACAATGCATAAAATTGTTTTGTTGTAATATGACGCCTTTGCCAAACCTCTGGAAAAACCATCATTATTACTTCCACTGTGTATGTATTCAAGACCTTGAAAATTTACTACAATTCTGATCATTCCATACATACAGAAACATGTATTTTCAATAAGCAAGCAAATATTCTCGACTATAAACGTTTGGAACACCAAAAGATTTACCCATCTCTGGCAGATGAAGGGTTTGCAAAGAGAACACATTTTTCTACTACCACAGGATTACAGTCCTTTTTCAGCCACTGGACATAGCAATTGTTTTCTGCTTTATATAAAAATAGTAATAATAACTGCATTTGTGTAGCACATACCTACGCTCTACATATAACATGCTCTACGCGCCGTACAGCTGTTATTACCCAAGCAGACCCTAGAACACTAATAAGGACACAATTTTGGGCCCCTGGCAGGATTCGAACCCACAACCTTAAGATTACGAGTCCGAGAGCTTAATGTAAGACTCACATGATGCTGGTATCTGTTGCAGTCGGAGCACCAGGCCTGGATGTTGGTGGTGGGAGTCATGCTGTTCTGGACCACCTCGGCAAAGGTCACAAACAGTGGTGGAGAGTTCGGCCCTAAGGGAAAAGAAACGTCTAGGTGCCAATGGAGGTAATAATCAGGTGCAGTCCGAATATGAATGACTCACATGGCTGTTCCCCAGCACGGCACTTAGTTACCGGTGAAACTGACCCAACCCATTCAGCTATGCAACAGTCCTTGTTCGTCAAGAAAATATCACAGGGTATGACAACAAAACTCAGCCCCATGCTAATTTTGTTTAGTGAATCTGAACAATTTTTTCATGGATACCACCCTTGCTGACTCTTACAAGTGAACTTAATCATAACAATCTGTTGCTCAGGAATTGGTAAAATCCAGACGTTTGTAGAAATCAAAGAAATACGTGCATTACAGTGTAGGGTAATGTACAAATGAAATAAGTGTACATGCCCAAAACAAGACGCACGTTTAAGGACAAGGGGTCATTTGAGAGCTTTTGGGCTTTCATTTGGTTGGTACCTCACACACCTACAGTATTAAAAACATGAGGGCATTTACATGGGATCTAAATCAAGAGAAAATTACACACTTTCTTTCCCACAGAGCTCACAGAATTATCACCCAATAGGCTGTCAGCAACCCAACAGTTAGGTGGGATTTTTACCCCAGGAGGACAGCAAACCGGGAAAACTAAGTGCACCACTGGGACAGTGAACTGAACAGCCGTGTCAAATTCAATGAAAGATGACAACAATGATAATAATGCCAACAACATCTTAGTGTGAACGCTAAAAGACAAAATGGACAGGTTAGTTATTTGAATGTTGTAACATGTCACCATATTCAACAATAGTGACAAGTGCTTTTCTAACGGACCATTAACATTCATCAGACTACTGCAAACATGAGGGGAAAAAAGAAACTTCTCTAATTTCTTTAGCAAAATAAACTTTTAACTTACGACACCACCACAAAAAAAAATCTTTTCTTTACACATATATGAATTTGTGTGTGTGTTTCCAGTATCCCTAAACCACACTTCCCAGGCTCAAACAGTTACATTCGAGTTTCAAAAACTGCCACAACTATGATTGATAACTTTTTTTCACATCAAATGCACTCCTGCAACTTTTCAACAGCCTGAGATACAAATGTCTCCAGATACCCCTTAACACTTTCCACCCATGTAGCGCGCAGAGCGCATAACACTGCCCAGTGCCCCCAAAGACCAGGAAGCAGATGCGGTACATCAGTACTACACCTGTATCTCAGCAAAAATACCCCCAACCACTATAAAAATTTCAGCATACTGAGTAAATTCAAACTGATGATCGCACGTTCACCAATAAAGGAATTTGAATCGAATCTGAAAATATTATATTCAGCTCATTCAGCACCCGAATTCTCATCATGGCGTAAGAGTAAAGCAGCACTCATACTAGGTCTACTCAACATTTTTTTCCCTGAAAAATTACTCCAAGTGTTGTATACAAACTAATTTTTTACCTCAAAGACCACACAACCCATTCAGTAAAGAAATTTAACTTTAACAATTGCCTATGTCAAAAGGGAGATCATGACAGCAACGTTTTTGTTGCTATCACACCGTCTCCCATCAGCATCCCCAGGGGAAAAGGGACGGCTTCTTACCATCGCCAATCCGTGGGGGTAAAAAGTAAAGACTCTTTTACAACTGCATTTCCCACTCGCCAGTTTGCTACACACTTCAAGTTTTGCGTCTCCCCCTCCCCTCCACCCCTATCCCCTCACTAAGAGAAGTCGAATGCCAAGACAATATTTCCAAACACTATCTCCAGCTTCTCTCACCAATTGGACGGTAGTCAGGGTACATGAGGTTGATGTGAGTGCCATCAATGATACGCTCACTCTGTAGACCACACTTGCACTGAAGAGAAGACTTGATCTTGATTCCCAGCAAGTCTCGGATGATGGAGCGAGTCATCGTGCTGAGAAAGTTTTTAAAGGGCCTCCTTTAAAATTGGGTATGAAACTGTACAAACTGTGTCACTTCTTTCACCCCCATCATCATACATCATGCACTCTAGCCTCCATTTCAGGAGAGAAAAACTATGGTTTCAAATTTGACTTTGCAACCTCTACACTTTTGCATTATAAACCATTTAGAAATGTTCATGTGAACGTGTATGAAAGTACATTAAGCCTTCAAGCCACCATGAACAAAGATCGCTTACTTCAGGTTCGAGGCATGATGCATGATAAGCATTTACTTGCATGGCAATCTTAACAAAATTGACCTAATAAGTGACTGGTACAGTTTACAGTATGATTCTTTAGTCCCCATAAACACTGAAAGTTGTAACAGTAAGGTCGTTTAAGAGGAATCTAATGTCCACCTCTGATAAGAATGTGCCAGTAAGAGGAAAGCTTTGACTACCAAAAAGTCAGAGTTCAAGGACACTGTAAGTGATGCAGACAGAGAGCAAAAGAAGAGCTTTTTATTTACAAAGTAATCATATCTCAAGGAGACACTCAACCAACCCTCCCCCCCCCCCCAAATTACATAAGTTCCTCAACATGGAGTTCATAGTAACAAAGTCCCCAAAAATATTGTATACAGGTAATGAAAAATATCTTTAACAAAACTTTAACGCTTTCCTTACTTCGACAAAAGATGGCAAAAAGCTTTTAACATGAAATACCACAATTTCACAACACTGAAATCTTCATGCCACTTAACATGGAAGTGCCAATAGCTCCAGGCTTTAAACAAACCAATACTGGCAGAGTAAACTCAAAATAGATCTACTAACTTCAGTACCATCACTAGCAAAAGCCGCCGAGTTCTGAAATCAGTACCCAAAGAGGCTGTTCAGCACTGACTTTGTGGACAATTTCTGAAAACATTGAATATTTTTTAGCTTATTACGCTTCTGCGATTGGCATGTGTACCTAGGACCAGCATTTTCAGTGCAAAAGTACACATTTCATACAATAAATTTCCATTGTACAAACAACACTGCAACAAACCATGTATTGCTACATTTCCATGATCTTGCGAAACTAAGTAAACCTTTGCAGAGAAAGATCAATGGGGATAAAATACTTACACCTGGGGCTCCTCTTGGCTTTCTTCACCAGCCTCAGAACTGAAAAATAGAAGTTGCGAAGAGTTGATGGAAAAACATTTATAGAATGGAGAAAAAACAAAACTACCGAATACTCAAGTAATCTCTGTAGAAAACAAGCAAGTTTGAAATAGCAAAACAAATTATTCTGTAGCTTTGACATTAAAAAGTGACGCGACACAAATTAGAAGAATATGAATAACTGGACCCTTCGGGAATTGAAAACAATGGACCATACACAGCTAGTGAAAACATAATCTGAGGATCAAGAGATGGATTCAAAGTTATAAAAGTAATGCAGGAGCAGAAAATAAAATGATGTTGCAACATCATACATTTCAGCAAACTGGCAAAGTAGTGTGTCCTTTTTTGTCTTCTTCTTCTTCTTCTTCCCCTCCCACTAAATCAGGGGGGTAGTTTACTGCAATGTTCATTAACATACAATTAAATATCCTACAATAACAAAGGTCCATTTCCCTTCAGACAGTCACACTGGATTTTCAAAGACAGGTCTTTACTTGAATTGACAAAACTTTCTTCAGCTCTGGGGGACAGTTTCATTTAGAATTTTAACTTTGCAACCAATCTCAATAAACCAGTTCTCAGACTTTTAATTGGCAAAGTGTCATCATAATGCAAATGTGTACATAACATGTGATCTAATAATTTTTCATTCACATCCAGTCAGACAAGGTAATTGACACCATCTGCTCTAGACCACAGGAGTGAAGAACCTGAGAAAATACCCAAAGTTTTCTATCAATTATGCCTATGCCTATACAAAACAAGAATCAAACCATGTACTTTTGCATGCGAAGTATACACCAAACTACAAGACTAGAAAGCCCCTCCCCTTGTACTACACAGGTTCGAGGTCATATAGCTCACAATCCCCGTCTGTTCTCAGAGTAAAAATGAACTTCAATCAGGTATAAGGAAAATTAAATCCAGTAACCCTTTCCAGAAAAAAGTTACACTATCAACACTGAAACGACTTACTAAATTACCTTGGGGATAAAATATCAGTGGTATTTTAGGTGAGATCTACCCATGTATTGTGTGACCTGCCTTTTGTTTGTTTAGTGAGTTCACCCTTTTGTCATTAGCTCACTCACGAAATATAGGTCAGGAAACATCCATCTAAGTGAACGGTAGATTTTATTATCTCTGTGCCGTCTTGTAAACACGGTCACAACTTTACAAACACTTACTTATTCTCTTTCCCTTCTGCATTTTTTCCTCCTCCCTCTCCCTCCTGTCCAGATGAGTCAGTCTTGACATCATCTGCCTTTTTCTTTTTTCCTTTCTTTTTCTCCTCGCCCTCTCCTTCTTTCGATGGGCCTTTTGATTTTTGCTCTGCCTGAGATCCCTCAGTGGAGTCGACTTCAATAGGTACACACGTTTCCTGAGGACATGGAGAGAGAAAAAAAGTAACCTGGCAGCTCAGTACACCTCACACTCCAACAACCAGACCTTCCTTACCCTAGTCTTGCAAACTTAAAAAGTCAACTGTAAATAAAAAATTAACTTTTCTGGACATACAGAGTACAGCACAAAAGAAAAGTCACAGGTTCAAAGAAAACCTTGAATCCTACATATAGAAAGAAGTAAGCATACAGCTTGACTTAAGTTCATCCTACCAAACAATCAGTTCCAAATAGCCACGGAAATTAGAAAGTCTATTGGAAACTGGTTAATTGCCGGAATGATAGACCTGCATGTGAGCCTCAACCAGATTGTCTGAAAATTTTGCGCAACCCCCCCCCAAAAAAAAAAGCCTTAGTGGGTGTCATAAGGAAGGACATCCGAGTAACGAGCGACCACCCCAACAAACAAAATAAAGAAGAGACCTAACCCTAACCCTACCCCAAAAAGAACCTGCATCGGGCCTCATCTTAAAGGGATTCGCATGTAAAAAGGCCAAAACAAGTACTAAATGAAAAAAACAAATTAATTAAAAAACCACACTCCAAAACAAACAAGGAGCATATAGATTCTAGATCTAGATCTAAATTTTATCTATATGGCTTACATCTACATTGCTATAGGGTTTGATACAATAACACAATAGAATTGGAATATGAATCCTCCATATAGACTATAGATCTAGATCTAGATATCTAGATCTACTAGACTAGTAATCTAAAAAATAAATCTAGATATAGATATAGAAAAATCTAGATTCTAGATCTAGATCTTGAAGAACAAGCGAATAGGAATAGATTCTAGGCTTTGAACTAGAAATCCGCATCCGATTCCGAACAGAGGGACTCAGCTGAGTCTAGATTCAAAACTAGATCTAGAATCTAGACTATAGATCTAAATATAATAATAATTCACGCACCTGATGAAATGCTTATTTTTACCAATATTAATATTACAGCACAACCTATGATAGGGTTTGACACAATAGAATTGGATTATGAATCCTCCATTGACGTCTATAATGATCTCTATATAAATCTAGATCTAGATTCTATTAGAACAAGAGAGTCGGACGAATGAATCCACACGATATGAACAATTGAATTAGTCAACAAACGAAATTGAAAATGGCCGCTCGAGCACGAAACTGAAAGTAGATAATTTAAGTTGTCGTCCTTTTTCGTATTCGCATTTCTACTTAGGTTCCGACAATTATGTCGGAAACGCCGACGTCGGCAGTCGGCGGTGCGCGCGTCGACGGTCGGCACGAAAACGAAAGTGCCGACGAAGCCGACGGGAGAAAAAGGGGTCGCTGGCAGTCGGCCAGGCCTCGCACTACGCACATTGACTGATACTAGGCGGGCCTAGCGATAGCATCGGCCGGTTCGCGGGTCGGGTCGCGATTGTCGGATTTCAGACGATTGTCGGCAAACATGCAGGTCTAGAATGACTAATTTTTTTTTAGTGAGTGCATCATTTTCTCAAAGTGGTTTATCATACAAAATTATAATAAGCATAAAATGATGTCTTTATGTTAAAAGAAAGGAAAGTGTGAGTCAAGAACGAATAAACCATCGGGTGCAACAATCTTTGGAAGAAAAACCACAGAGCAGAATAAAAAAACTTCTGACCATACAGCCGCTCATACCTCATGAATCTGCATCAGGACAAATCGTTGCCAGCTCTGGATGAGGCGAGGGAAGTCAACACGGCCGCAGTTCTCGTCGATGTCATGAAGCACCAGACCCAGGGCAGACACCTGGGGCATTGTTCTGAAGGCTCTCAAGAAATTGGTGGCCTGTACAATTGCACAAAAAAACAAAAAGTCTGCATCAACCATATAACTTATAAATCCAGACTTTTTTTCCTTCACTGGGGGATAGAAATGTAAAATCATGTTGCATAAAGAAATAAGAGAGCACCATTATCCCCTGCATAACTTCTTTCATAATTGACCTAAATCCTAAAATTAGTACTGTAAAAGGCAATTTTTTTCAATGTGAAAAGTTTACAAGCACACAAAAAATCAGCTTACATGCCAGATATTTCTTCCCATGACTGAAGTTTAAAAACAAGAAGTCATGCTGCTCAGTGTCATCTGCTGAATCACTCATTTCAAAGCTGACTTAAACCACCCTCCAAAATGTATTAATTTGCATACTTCAGACAAAATATATACACAATATAATGAACTTGGTCATATTTTCAAGACTCCATTAGGGGCTTCAAAACCTAAATTTTTTTAGCTCTACAAACCTGACAAGTATTTCCTTTCTGAGAATCCAACATATGGAACAAAAATCCCAGCTCACAGGACAAGCAAAACTCTCTCTCACAGACATGGCCAAGGAGTGCACAGCGCAAAGGTTCCAAATAGTACAAGACCTGAGGAAGTAAATATAGCAATAGTTCTTTGGGGTTTGTTTTTTTTTACTTGGACGGTAGTCCACTACACTCGCCTATCAATTCACGCTTTAAGATCATTCAACTTTCATTGATAAAGGAGAAAATGTTGTCCTTGTGGAAAGGTACCATTTTCCTCAGTTCACAGAACTTGACAACTGGCAGCAACGGAAATGTAAAAAGACATTGGTATGTGTAAATGTTATGGAAAAAGACAAATGGTATGTGCATATGTTCTGCAATATTGTATTAATTTACACCAAATGCAAATTCAATTTATTATTATTACTTCTGTTCCCATGCTTTCCATAAAGATTTGAGTTATCTTATAGTGAAAGTGCAAGCTAGCCACATTTCTGACTCAAAGTATATTATTCAGTCCAGGCAATACATTTTTACCTGGATCTGACTGCATCCAACAAGTTTTTTAAAAACGATAGATTGAATTGACAAACATTTGGAACAGCCAGAGAAGCAAACTCTGGAGAAGGCAAGAGTGAGAGTATCCCTTTATCGCAAAAACACAAGACAAACCCTCTTATTCATTGCGATGCCAAGCAATAAGCAGGGCGAAAGGTATGTGTGTCATGACGTGGTAGTGGTGGAATTAGGTGCTCATCAATTTTTGGGCTTATAGGAGTTATTGGCGTCATCTTAACGGTTGCTCATTTGTCTTAACTTTGATGGGAAAAAACAAAACATTTACCGTGAACAGAAGCTGAGAAACTTGCGATTCAAAGAAGTGGGGGTCAAAGGAAATTAAGTGAGAAAATGGCCGCAAATGTTACGTGACTTCCAAAGCTTGAGCATCCTTGAAAGCTAAATTAAATTTTTTTTGCGTATTTGACCCCTGTTTTTCAGTAAAATCCATGCAGGAATGTGACTTCAAATGGACATAAAAAGTGTTAAGTGAAAAGAAAAGGAAATTCAATTTTTAAAAACTGCCCTACAGCTAAAAAAAACCCGCCAATTTCTTTGATTTCATTATTCTGACAAGCACTTGATTTCACCATGATGCATCCCATACATATATTTTTTTTTTTCTTTCTTCTGCAATCCACTTACTTGTAGCATAGAGTTGCAATAGGCATTTGGTATGTGAGGCTCCAGACCAGCCAAATTAGTCTTGTTGTAATGTCTGAAGTCAAAATCTTCCACTCCCAGTTTCGAGTATTTTATTTCCACTCGTCGATATCGTTTCGGCACACCCATGAATGGGTCATCTCCTGTAACAAAGAGAAAAGACTTCTGTTAAGCAACTTTTCCAACTTCAAGAAACAAGCAATAATATACATTTTAAAAGCATCTTGTCAATACATTAAAATAGCAGCAATCAAAGAGAATATGATTCTAATAAAAAAAATATGGAGAAGTTAGAACAAAATGTGAGATATACCGACAAAATGAGTTAATTCTTGGACTTTAGCCCTATAGACCCTATGTCAAATTTATAGGTTGGATTGGTCCAATTCATAATATGTACTCACAAAAGACATGTTTAACTTTGAGAAAAAGGCATCAGTAGAAAAATCTACAAATCTGATGGGCATCTTCAGCCAACGTCTCCATTCATGAATTGCAAGAAGTAACTCATTTTGTCAGCACACCTCACCAATAAAAACTCACTTGCAACAAATACAGACTAAAAAAGCCACTGGTAGATTGTTGAAAGTGTTTGGTACGTAAACAGACAGCAGAAGTGGATAGTAGAAGAATAGAGACCTTGAACTTTCTTGGGTCTTCTTACTGGACCTCCCAAGGTCCCCCAAAGAATTGTTATGAAATGGGTTATACTCTCAAATAAACAATGTATAGCTGTTCAAGAGGCTACACCTTCAAATTTATTGTCCACCTCCGACAGTACCAAACCAAGTGGAATTAGAGCCAATCTAACACCAAAAAAAACACCACAAGGGGATTTGAATCAGGATCACCTGCAACTAAATCAAGCATGACACCAAATCAGCTATTAGGCACCTCACAGAGCCCATAAGTGGGTACATGAGATAAATACATTCCTACACTGGGATGCCCAACATCACTTCCAATCATACTAAATGCCATCCATAAACAGCAAAACACTGGTTCACTGAAGCCCACCACATTTCTATTCCCCGGCAACGGACATTATTTATGAAAAATAATTTTTTTAACCTGATGACGATTAATGAAAAATAATTTTTTTAACCTGATGACGCTTGTGAGCCAATCTCTCTTACCTCTTCCACTTGGGGATTCTGGAACACTGGATTTTCGGTCCTTGGTGCCCTTTTCAGAAAGATCATAGGGAATGACATTTCTTTTCTGCTTCGTGGTATTCGGTGCATATCCAATGTTCTGGTATACTTTCATTGTGCGCAGAATTTCGGGGTCAATCGGAACTGGTTTTCTGAGAACCAAACAGCAAAAAAATCTTTTTAATGAAAAAAAAAAACAACCTTAAGATTTCAACAGCATAAAAGAGGGAAAAAATAATACATTTTAAGGAATCAAGTACAGCTGTATGACGTGTTGACCACACTGACAATTACTTGTCTAGTTGGATTGAATTTTCTTTGTGTCTAAATTCTCCCACACAAATTTTCATTCTTTACACAAAATTGTGACACACTGCAACTGATGAAAAGCAGTGACTGAGTTCAAAACAAATGCTACTATACTGAAAATCAAAAGGAGTAAAACCCACAAAAGCCCCCATCCACCACCCAAATACAGTGGAACATGCAGGTCAAAAGACGGAGAACACCTGACAACTACAAGAGAAAGGTCTTACTTTCAATCCCATCATATTACAGATTTATGATTTATTTGTACTAGTAAAAGCACATAATAATGAAAAAGTATTAGGAAAGTTAAGAAGAGGAAAAAGACTGAAAACAGGAAAGAAACAAAACATAAATATTTTACTTTGAATTTATCCATGTAGCACCCCCTCTTGACTACCTCTAGGGGTAAGACTTCTTCCCCCTCTTCGGAGGCGTGGCATTTACTCCTAAAGTGCCAGCTCAATCACTTTTTTTTAAAAGGGTTAAGCCTACATGCCAATGGTTGCTTCCTAGAAGAACCTTATCTAGATTCTAGATCTAGCCTAGACCTCGAAGGACTATAAAGACATAGGCCTATAATTGAAAGAAGGAGCCTAGGCCCAAAGATAGATCTAAGTTTAGAAATTCACATTTTTAACAACGGACAGGCGTCACAGATGGCCTAGTTTCTAAATCTATTTACAGCAGGAAAAACCCACTTTCATGAATACTTTCATGATTTTTTATCTCGATCTAGATTTACCGACAGCCTAGTTCTAGACTCTAGATCTATTCAGAGCAGGAAAAAATCCACATTCAATACTTTCATCATTCTTGATCTCGATCTAAGCTTCACATATAGATTTAGATCTAGATCTTAGAATCTAATGCATAATAAGAAAAATCCACTTTCAATATTCAATAGGTTATCGAAATGTCACATCTAAATCTAGATTATACTTTCATTTCATGATTCTTCTTGACTCTAGATCTCATCTAGACACTGTGCAGAAAATACACTCATCCTTCGGCGAGCGCGCTAAATCCACTGCAGGAGAAATCTAGTCTACTTTCAATACTTTCATGATTTTTTATCTTGATCTAGATTAGATATTAAATCTAGACGTAGACAAAGATAGTACATAACAAGATGGGCCACTCAGCCAAAAAAGTGTCCACCGGAAGTCCGCTCTTTGCTTCAGATGGCGCTGCAGTCTGTTTTGAAGCTCTTTCGTTTTTCCAGAAGAAGAATAGGAATAGTACCTCCTTGCGTGCGCAGATCGACTGCTGTTCATCAGCAGTTCGGGTTCGTTCAGTGCGGAGTTTTAGTTGTTTTTTTATTTTAATGACCTCTCGCCTTTCATTCTAAATTCAAATTAAACGAAGAAAACAATCACCCTTTCCTCCGGAAGAGGTTTTTTGTCAGCGTAACCATTTTTAAAAAGCGTTCATCCGAAATTTATTCAAAAACTTGCTAGTTTCACTTTGATTTTTTAAAACTCAAGTAGGGTAACTCTGTTCACAAAGGGTGCGCATTTGCGAAGAGGGCGCCACCAAATTTTGAGGACACTTTTTTAATTGGCTCAAAGAGAGAAGTGGCCCCCCTTGTTATGTAGACTCTTTGACGTAGATCAACACATGAACACACTGAACTCAAAATATCCTTCGGCGCAGTTCGGTGTGTGCGCTAAATCCACTGCAGGAGAAATCTACTTTCAATACCTTCATGATTTTTAAAAATCTTGATCTAGATATTAGATCTAGAAATACACACACATGCAACTACACGCAAGGTGTAAACCGGCTACGATTGGCTGAATCTTTGACTTTGACCCATGACTACATTAAATAGGCCTACGGTAAGCTACTCTTAGCGCTTTCAACGACACCCTCCCTGTCACTCTCACCACCCTCCCTCTGCAGTGCTTTCTGGCCTCCTCTATCTCTTCCTTTTTCTCTCTCTCTTTCTCCCAAGGTAGGGTAACAAACGAAAAAGTCCCCACTTTGTAACATGTATTTCTACTTGATTGTTCTTCTCCTTCTTTTTCTTCTTGTTCTCCCCCTCCTCCTCCTTCTTCTTTTTTTTCCTTTTTTTTCTTCTTCTTCTCCCTCCCTCTCACCCGCCCTCCTCCTCCTCCTCCTTCTACACCTATACCTCCTCCTCCTCCTCCTCCTCCTTCTCCTCCTCCTTCTTCTTTTTCTTGTTTGAGCGCTCCAAACCCGCTGTGAAAAGACGGTCAAAGGTGAGAGACCGAAACCACGTATAACTGAACACAAAATATCCTTCGGCGCAGTTGGCAATCCGCAGTGAATATACAATGTCGAAGCAAATGATGGCTATCGCTACAAAAGGACTGAATTTAACTTACAATGGGCTTTCTTCTTACACATTTGATCTTAATGAAAATACAATAGTGCAACACTACGTTTCAAGTTATGGGTACTGGCAAAGTTCCATATTTTTTCATTGGGTAGTTTCTGAGAATATACTGTTCACAAAATTTGGCCTTAGCTCCATTAGTAGTAAGATACTCAAACTATTAAGTTGACACAAAAACATAATATATTTTATTTGTGACAAAGCATCTGTTTATAGAAAATACCCTAACCCTGACATTCGAGGGTAAAAGTTACCCATATCTTATTGAAAGAAAACTGGCAGGCAACTGTTACATAACCATCTCTAATTCATTTCTTTTGTCATTTAGTAAACTCTAAAAACCATGAGAGCATTATCCGCTTTTTCTCCATCTCTTTTTCGCCCTGACTTTCCAACCAAAATCATCTCTTGCATGTTTTCAACATTTTCATATATGGTATGGTTCAGTAATTAAAGAGACAGGACCTCCAATATGACTTCTATCTTCAAGAAGACCATGTCAAAAGGGAAGACACCCGTTGAACTCTTCCATTCTAGCAAGTTACCCAAGTTAACTGAAAACAAGTACAATTCAAACTATGTGCTTAAAATGGAGTTGGGCATAATACCCATTGCTCTTTGATGAGTGTGAATAAACAGAAGCTCAAAGACATAATTACAAACATTTGATCGCTTTTAAGCACAAACAGGGCTATCCTGAAAAATGTTTTGAGAAAATCGATGCTAACGTTTTTGCCCCTAGTTCAGTTTCTTTAAAAGACAAAGAGTTTTCTTTATAACCAAACAAATATACACACCAATGAAACAAAACTTCTCCTGTAGGTAGGGCAATGCCCACTTTTGGTGTAGGTCAAGATTTCTGGAAACCACCAAAATCTAGGTTGTCCATAAAAGCAACCATTTAATCTAGGGAAAGAGCAAAACAGAGAGACGAACACAACAGAGAGCAAGTGGCCTCCTCAACACACCCTTCTGAGTGGACTGCACCCACAAGAACACAGTCACACAAATGGGACATTGAATACCTGTAAACCTGGTTCATCATTTCCTCTGGGAAGTCTGAGACCAGCGGGCCCTGAGCTGGGTAAGGCATCGGGATGCCAGAGTAAGCAGCCAGCTCATCGTTAACATCAATGGGCTCAAGCTGATCCACCTACGGGGAAGAAGAGGGGGGAGAGATATACAAAAATGGTAGATTACAGTGTGCATTGATCCTGCTTTGAAGTACAACATTCATTACTGAGAAATTCACAAAAATATCAGAGGTACATACTAAATCACATTTTCATTATGTACAAGATTATGAAAAAAAAGTGAGTGCCTAAGTCTGGTGGTGGAGGGAAGGGTGTGTGTGTGTGGGGGGGGGGGGGGGGGGGGGGCGCGCTATTTTTATTTGCAATAGACACAAACACTAAAATAAATTATTATGTTTTAACAAATGCATATAGATTTCTAATTTCATTCCAACTGCACAAAAATAAACAACCCGCTGAACATTATCAAAAACAACTTTAAAAAAAAAGAAATTACCCAATCCCAGAAAACGAAATAATGTGCAAACCAAAAAAATGAAATCTAAACCTAAATAAACATTAACAGGCACTTACAGGATCAGCAAACTCAACTGGCACGGAAAACTGATTGAAAATTGCACTTTGACCGCCAGCAAATAAGTGAACATTTCCTGAAAAGAAAAGAAAACGAATATTATTTGGATCAAATAGACATTACATTCATCATACATTGTATTAAAGTAAGATCTGAGGTATCAATGACATAAGTATTAACATGTAAAGTGGACTTGGAAAAACATTAATGAAAAACAAATAGAGGACTTACGGTAGTTCTCAGCCACAGAAGCAAACTTTATTTCCGTTGCACTCAAAAAATTAACGTTACAGGAAGAGTATCAGTTAACTTTTGTGAACTCAGTTATGTTCAAAATTCAAATGTGTCACGACGGGGTGGAATCAGGCGCTCATCAATTTTTGGGTACGTGAAGTTATAAGTATCATCTCAAAGCTTGTTTATTCGTTTATCTTTCAATGAAAAAAGTGCCCATCTATCTTGAGTAGAAGTCGATATGTTTGCGATTGGAGGTGGTGGGGGTCGCCTGGTTTCAAAGGTAAAATTAGCTAGAAAATGGCCGCTAAAGTTTGGTGACTTCCAAAGCCTGACAGTCCTCAGAAACTGAAAATTTACATTTTTTGGGCCTCTAATCAACGTTTTTCAGAAAAAGTTAACACAGAAATGTGTTGTGAAATGAAGATAAAGGTGATGAGCCAAAAAAAATTCTATAAAACTTTAGATACGGTCGGTAAAATGCCAATATCTTCTATTTCATTATTTTGACAAGCGTCTGATTTGACCACAATGCCTCACAAATGTACAAACCTGAGCTATCACCGAAACACAATGCTTGGTATGTAGAAGAAATGTCAAATGCAATAATCGCTGCTCCTTGTGTATTGACAGGGTAAGCCAACTGAGTGCTCGGTGGACCTCCGCTGATTGTCTCCACAAGCTGAAAGCTGCCCATCTGAAGTTTAAAAAAACACACAGCATCAGTTAAGTAACCCTCTTCCCAAACGGTCAGTGATGATTCCATTCTTCATAGCAAAGAAGACATTTTTTTGCCTAATTTTTTTTAGAAATAGACAATTTTCTCTGATTTTTCATCCAACAGGTGACAAAAAGCATTCTATGATGAAGAAATGTAATAAAAACCATAACAATGATGCAGCACTGAAAAAAAACAACAACATAACTGCAATGAAACAAAATTATAAAAATCCTTACGGTGATGAAGTAGCGAGATTTTTAAAAACTGAAAAAGAAAAACACCAAAAACTCACCTGAGACACCACGACGATGTGGTTAGGAATGCTGGGCACAAATCGCAGGAATGTGGGATCCATGCTCACTTGGATGGGAGCCATAGCTCTCATCACCCTCATGTCGTAGACTCGGAGCAGCCGGTCTGGGGTCAGGGCGTTCATCCTGAACATTGAAGGGGGGGGCTATTAAGTTGACACAAAAACATAATATATTTTATTTGTGACAAAGCATCTGTTTATAGAAAATACCCTAACCCTGACATTCGAGGGTAAAAGTTACCCATATCTTATTGAAAGAAAACTGGCAGGCAACTGTTACATAACCATCTCTAATTCATTTCTTTTGTCATTTAGTAAACTCTAAAAACCATGAGAGCATTATCCGCTTTTTCTCCATCTCTTTTTCGCCCTGACTTTCCAACCAAAATCATCTCTTGCATGTTTTCAACATTTTCATATATGGTATGGTTCAGTAATTAAAGAGACAGGACCTCCAATATGACTTCTATCTTCAAGAAGACCATGTCAAAAGGGAAGACACCCGTTGAACTCTTCCATTCTAGCAAGTTACCCAAGTTAACTGAAAACAAGTACAATTCAAACTATGTGCTTAAAATGGAGTTGGGCATAATACCCATTGCTCTTTGATGAGTGTGAATAAACAGAAGCTCAAAGACATAATTACAAACATTTGATCGCTTTTAAGCACAAACAGGGCTATCCTGAAAAATGTTTTGAGAAAATCGATGCTAACGTTTTTGCCCCTAGTTCAGTTTCTTTAAAAGACAAAGAGTTTTCTTTATAACCAAACAAATATACACACCAATGAAACAAAACTTCTCCTGTAGGTAGGGCAATGCCCACTTTTGGTGTAGGTCAAGATTTCTGGAAACCACCAAAATCTAGGTTGTCCATAAAAGCAACCATTTAATCTAGGGAAAGAGCAAAACAGAGAGACGAACACAACAGAGAGCAAGTGGCCTCCTCAACACACCCTTCTGAGTGGACTGCACCCACAAGAACACAGTCACACAAATGGGACATTGAATACCTGTAAACCTGGTTCATCATTTCCTCTGGGAAGTCTGAGACCAGCGGGCCCTGAGCTGGGTAAGGCATCGGGATGCCAGAGTAAGCAGCCAGCTCATCGTTAACATCAATGGGCTCAAGCTGATCCACCTACGGGGAAGAAGAGGGGGGAGAGATATACAAAAATGGTAGATTACAGTGTGCATTGATCCTGCTTTGAAGTACAACATTCATTACTGAGAAATTCACAAAAATATCAGAGGTACATACTAAATCACATTTTCATTATGTACAAGATTATGAAAAAAAAGTGAGTGCCTAAGTCTGGTGGTGGAGGGAAGGGTGTGTGTGTGTGGGGG